AATAAAACACACCTTGTGAGGCTTCTTCCCTTCAGTGTGGTGAGCTCATTTCTGTCTCACCCCTCACTCACTGAGAAGCAGCGCTAGAGTTTGGGAAACTGACCTCAGCTCAGGAGGTACAGCTACCTGGTCTAGGGATAATCTTATTTCTCTTGCCAATGATTGGTTGAGGGGCAGGTACAGTATATTACACCTGACCATGAAGTTAGGTGGATGATTCCAGGAAAAATTTTGCTATTTTTTGAGACAGCGTATTGCTATGCAGTTTAGGTTGCCCTTAAATTCATTATGTAGCCCAGGCTGGCCTCAAACTTGTGGCAATCCTCTTGCCTCAGCCTCCAGAATGCTGGGATTACAGTTGTGCACTACCATGCCACCCAGCCCTGTTTGGTTTTTGAGACAAGGTCTCATCATGTAGTCCATGCTGGCCTTGAACCCATTATGTAGCACAGACCAACCTCATGACAATACTCCTGGCTCAGCCTCCTGAATGCTGGGATTACAGGTGTGTACCACCATGCCTAGGTGCTCTGCTCTTAAAAAAAACATTAAGAACTCAGGTTCCCCTCTCCTACCCAAAGTAAATGTGGGAGCATGCAGCCCCAGCTGCTACTACTAGCAGCCATCATACAATTGGGAGGGGACTAGGTCTAAGAGAAATGCACTGAAAAGAACAGAATATAGAAAAAAAATTGGGTTCCTGATAACATTGCTGAGCCACTGAATCAGCCTGCCCTGAAATCTTTCAGACCCTTAGACTACCTGCTCTGAGTCACTCATGATGGTATACATGGGTAATCCAGTACTCTGGGAAGCTAAGGCAGGAGGGTCACAAGTTTTAGTCCAGCTGAGTTGTTTCAAAACAAAAAATGAACTCTGGGGATATAGCTCAACACAAAGGCTGTGGGGTCCAATCCCCAGTACTGGGGTGGGGAGTGCCCTTAAGGAAATCAGAATAGTTTGAGTTAGGTTTTCTGTTATCTGTAACTGAAAGATTCCTAAACAGTTACATTACCAATAGAACAAAATCAGTCTAGATTCTCTGTAGTGAATGCACTGATGCTCTAACATGAGAACAGAATTTCTCAGAGAACAGGTAAAAGCACCGAATTGGGAAAGACACACCACGTCGATATATAAAGAAAGAAACCCAGCTATCTCTCCTCCCAACAAAAAAGCCTTTAGACTGAGTTTCATGAGTCCTAATAAAATTACCTGACTGAGGTGGGGTGCGATTCTGCAAATAGAATTTGTATCCTCCTGGGGCTTCAATTTCAAAAACTCCTTCTGCAACTTCACTGAGAGGCCACTCCAGCTTCTTGGCATTCTTGACAGCTTGGCTGGAAGCAAGTGTGATTCCCTATAACAACAGTAACGTTTACATGTATAATCACAAGTCTTTCACAGAACAAGGTAAGGAGTTCAAACCCTATTGCTTTTATTGCCTAGGTCAGAATTAACTGGTTTTCAGAATTTTTGTTCTGGTAATTTTTTTCCTTTTCTTTTTTTGAGACAGGGTCTTGATGTGTAGTTCAGGCTGTCCTTGAACTCACTATGTAGCCCAGGCTGGCTTTGAACTTGCAGTGATCATCCTGCCTCTGCCTCCTGGGTGTGTTCTAGTAACTTTAAATTATTTTTGGGGGGCTGGGGATTTAGTTCAGCGGCAAAAGCGCCTGCCTGGCAAGCACAAGGTCGTGAGTTCGGTTCCCGGTACCGGAGAAAAACCAAAACCAAAAATAAAATAAAATAAAATAAAATAAATTATTTTTGGATACTTTCTTCCACAAAGACTCAGAACTTCATAAATCACAGGACAAAAATTCAAATGCCAATGAAATTTGATTCATTTAATACTCAAGATAATCTCTTCAAATTTTTAAGATCTAGCCAGAGAAATCATGATCTTATCTGGACCTGCCAGTTACCTAGTTGAGATAATTTGTTTATACTCCTCCTCTACCTCCCCCAGTGCTAGGAATTGAATACTCAGGACCCTGGGTGTTCTAGGAAAGCCTAGCTCTACCACTGAGTTACAGCCTTGGGCTGAGTTTTGCTTTTCATGTTTTCTTATCATTTGAGACCAGGTCTCATTATACAGCCCAGACTGGCACTGAACTGGGCATCTTCCTCCTGCAGCCTCTCCTGTGTTGGGATTACAGGCGTGCACTGCCATGCCTGTTTTTGGTTTTTTAAACAACAAAGAATTAACCAACTATAAAATCACTCTTTAAATTTAATCAAAGTACCTAGTAAAGTACACTTCTGCCTTCATATAAAGCTAGCCTCATTTCTAGCCTAGACTGTTGGTCTATAATCCATTTCTGTCCAGGGCGACAGGTCCCAAGAATGAGGTGCTGTGGATGAAAAGAAAAGAGAAAAAAGAAAAACAAGAGAGGCATAATTCTGGGATCAGGGGGCTAGCAGCCTCTTGGACTGAAGCCCCGATTACCATTTTCAGTAACCTTTTATTGAGAAAGAACAAAGGAAGGAACTGGGCAAATGGGAGGATATCAACAGGTTTAGCAAGGACAATACAACTCCATTACCACAGAAATAAGACTTGATTTAGTTAGCCATCCTGTTATCATTTCTTCGGGCTTATCTCAGGAAAGCATCTAGGGTTGTCCCACGGCTTTCCACAGAGACACAGGTTTTGCAGTCATTTCCTTTCCACCAATGCTTTTGCTAGATTTCCAACCAAACAATCATATGGCTTGGTCAGGCCTGAGGTAATACATTGAAAGAGAACTATAAAATGTCCTTCTCCACACTAGACTATCATAATAATCTCTGCTCTACTCCTGTCAAACCATGACCTACTCTGCAGCCATAGTAAACTTTCCAAAACACAAAACCCTTAATGGCTGGGTGTGATAGCACACATACCTGTAATCTCAGCACATAGGAGGCTGAGGCAGGAGGACTACCATGAATTCCCCGACCAGCCTGGGGTATATAATGTGTATAAAGCCAGCCTGAACTACATAGGAGTAGTAGTTTCAAAAATCAAAAACAAAAAACCAGCCCGGCATGGTGGTGCACGCTTGTAATCCCAGCACTCAGGAGGTTGAGGCAGGATCGCTGCGAGTTTGAGGCCAACCTGGGCTACACAGTGAAACCCTGTCTCAAAGAGGCAAAACCAAAAATACAAAAACCAAATCCCAACAATGACAGAAACCTTTAACAGCTCTTCATTTCACTGGGACAGTATATGAAGGCATAAAAGGTTCACACAATCTGAGCCCATGCCACTTCTGATCCTATCTCTTACTGTCTTCCCCCCGCCCTCTCTATTCTAACCATACTGGCTTCCTTGCATTTCCTGCAACATTCCAGGCCCTGCATAAGGCCCTCTGCACAGGGTCTTCTCTGTCTGGAATGCCCCTTCCACTCATCCCCGTATCTCCCTCAGCCACATGGCTAAGTCCCTTACTTTCTTTGAACCTTTGCTGCAATGATACCTCCTCACTGACCCTACTAGGAATTAATTGCATATGATCCCATTTGCTGATTCTTGCTACTATTTCCTGTGCAACTGGGGTTCTATTCAAAAAGTCCTTGCCTACATCTATGACTTCAAGAGTTTTACTACATTATCTTTCAGCACGTTAAATGTTGGTTTTAACATTTAGTTCTTTATAGTACATGGTGAGAGATATGAGTCTAGATTCAAACTTCTGCCTGTGGATAGCCAACCCTACTCTGAAACAAATCTTCCCAGCCAAAAATCTCCTGGGACAGAATATTTACCATGAAGTCATTGCCAAGCTTGTAGTCTCCAATGCCATAATTGTAAGTCAGCTCTGCAACGAAATGATCATCTTCGGGCCCAAATCCCACCATTGTTTTACTCCATTTCCCATCGTAAGGCCTAGAAAAATGAAAGTAAATGAACCCAGTGACCACACACAAAATCTACCTCAGCTCCTTTCCCCTAAAAGAACTATGGCACAGACGGGTAGGCAGTCCTTTCTGGACCCCCAAACCTCACAAAGATGAGATGACCTCAGATGAGGCTGAGAACAGCTACGAATAATGCTCATGGACCCCAGCTAAAAGTTCCAAAGATCACTTGTTTGGCATTTACTAGAGGCAAAGTTTCACTTATGTTTTCTTCAAAGGAAGGAACAGAATCCTAAAGACTTCTCCAATCTGACTTTAGTTTATTTCTTTGCACATCCATCAACAAGCAGGCAAATTCCAGTAAGCCTCAAAATCCTCAACTTATAGCTGAGACTTGTGATTGGGATCTGAAATGGAGGCAATCTTCTGGGACTGAGCCTTTAGCTTGTAGGATCTGACACTAACTCTAGAGAGGCCCAGAAAAGAATTAAATAGTAGGACTCCTGGCTGGTATTTGAAGAATTGGAGAACAGGTGTGTGTATCAGGAGTGTGTGAGAGTGGAGAGAAATGCAGGATATCTCCTCAGTGTTCTTCACGTTGTCTCCCTAATTTATTGTTTTCTTAATTCATGCCACTGTCTTATACTCACCAGAGGTTATTCAGAGTATAAAGAAGATTTTAAGATACAAGGTGTCATACCCATTACATGCAGCTTTGCAGCCTTCTTCAAATTCTTCATGCCGCAGAACCTGGTAAAGGCATTAGAATTGTAAAGTTTTATTAGTACCACATATAGCATATTTAGCACAAACCAAAAGCTCAAAACATAGTATCATTTGTAAGCTTTATTTAAAGAGGGAGGGGAGGGGACTTGGTATCTTTTCCAGGCTAGATAAAGCACAGGCACAAAAGAACAGTTTGATATTAGAGTCAGCCTACAAGCAAAATGATAAATCTCTTTAGATTGGGAAGCAGTACTGTGTAATGAAAAAGGTCTGGTCTTCAACATTAGGGAAGTATGATTTGTGCTTCTGGTTGCTATCTAATACTATAACTCTGAGTAAGCAGCTTTGTCTCTGAGTTGGTAATAGACAACTTCTCACAGCATCTAACACAGAAGCCACTATACAGTGGGCTCTCAGTCTTAATTTCTATTTTCCTTTTTAATTCCCATTGCTACTATTGCAACTGAATCTTCTTCTTTTTCTTTTTTTCTTTCTTTTTTTGTTGTTTTTGGTCTTTTTGAGACAGGGTCTCCCTATGCAGTTCAGGCTGGCCTTGAGCTCACTTTATAACCCAGGCTGTCTTGAACTTGCAACAGTCCTCCTGCCTCAGCCTCCTGAGTGCTGGGATTACAGGGATGCACCACTATGCCCAGCCTGATCTTCCTTCTTACCATCAATATAATAGTATATCTCTAAAATACAGCTCTTATTACAACATTGCCCTGTTCTAAAAATGTAAAAGAATTCTCCTCTTATGCAGCATAAAATCCTCATTCCTTAGCTTAACATTCAAGACTCTATAGGAAGCAATTCCAACCTATTTGCCCTGATATCTCATCTCTACAACTTCAAATAAGTAACCTTAACTAAATTAAAGGCACATAAAACTAATGGTCTTTTCCAAGTGTATCTTTGTATCATGTATTCAGTTTTTTCAGTATAATTCATCCCTATAATCTTGATCTGTGGAGATCTTACCTATATGTAGAGGTCAACTTCAATGCAAAGTCCCCATGAATTATTTCCTGGTGAACCAGGTTGGAAAACTTTTCCACCTTTTTTGTTTTGTCATCTTGTGTTTGCAGTGCTGGGGATTGAACCCAGGGCCTCTAGGCAAGCACAATACCAATGAGCTACATCCCCAGCTCCTTTTGCATTTTTATAATAACTGTAGCTAATACTTACAGAACACACAATATCTATGTGTTCAATAGCACCTATTTTTTGAATACCATCTAGCTAATAAATAACGTTTAATCTTCACAACAACACTTTGATCAATAAAGAAATATAGTTAAGGTGAGCTTTATGGTTTTCTGCTATCATTTATCAAAATCTGGGTTCTATTACCACTGGCTAGGTAAAAAATGCAATTCCTATTTCCATCCCATCCCAGACCATGAGCTCCAAGGCCAGATACCAAGATTATCTGCACCTTTTTCCAAAAGTCAACACAGTACCCTAAAACAGGGCCGACATTTTAAAAATGATTGGTAAATTCAAGAATTCCCTTAGCACATCTTCTGCACTGTGTCCACACAAAATGGAACCCTTGCTCTTCCAAAGTCTTGTGTGTTTCCTACCCTCCTCCTCCCTAGCTTATCAGAAGTTCCCCAGTAATTTCTACCTGACTTTTCAGCTAAGCGACTTCTGTACAACTAGTTCAGGCCCAGGGACAGGCTGCTTCCAAGTACCGAGGAGGAGAATGGATTCTGACCTTAAATCTGAAGTGTTGAAAGGAGAGTCAGAGTCAGATTTACCAAGAGAGACTGAGTACCCAAAAGAGACCGTTCGAACCAGCGATGACTGGAGCAGAACTCTGAAGGAGGAGGATAGCAACATCGAGCCCAGTATGGGCGTAGCGAGATCTTGTTTCTAAATACACACATACATACATACAAACATACACACACGAGAGAACGAAAGCAACTAAAAAGCGCGGAGGATGTCGCTCAGTATGAAGGCCCTGGGTTCAAGCCACGGGGGGTGGGGGGCCCGACTTTAAATGTTCTGATTATCTACACAGAAATCAAAATTTACAAATGCATTACATAACTTTTTGCTTCCCACTAGATTGTAGTTTCCCAGCAGCGGGGGCCCATTAAATACTTGCGAATGAATTAAGTGAGAGAGCATAGTATGTTAGTTCCTCTTCAAAAACTATCTACATTTGATCTTAGCCAATTTCAAAACGATCTAACTTGTACTCTGAGATTCGCAACGTTTCCTGAAGCTGAAAACCCCACAGGGCCTTTGGGAAGTCTTGCGCCCGCCATCAGGGAGCCAGGAACATTTTTCAGCCCTCTGGCTTCACTACACAGCCATTTCTCGCCCAATCCCTTCGCCAAGCGCGGCTCAGTCGCCCGTCCCAGCCTCGCGCACCAGCCCCGATCGCCCCGGCCTTCACCTTCATCCCCAGGACATCCCGAAAGAAATGCGTCGTCTGGAAGCGGTTTCCCACTTTGAACACGAAGTGCAAAGCTCGGCGAGAAGTCATGTCTTCCAAAATCAAAGCGCCTTCCCTGAACAGCTCGGCGACAGACGCAACACCGCGCAAGCGCAGGTAACGTCATTAAACATCGACGGCACGCTTTCGTGACGTAACCCTCGGCGCCAGGAAGATGGCTGCGCTATCGCTCTGCAAGCGGTGTGCTCTGAAACCGTTGTTGCCGGTGGTGCAGACTTGGGATCTCGAAGCGCGGCGCTGGGTCCGGGCGCTGCGGAGGAGCCCCGTGAAAGTAGTATTTCCATCTGGAGAGGTGGTGGAACAGAAGCGCGCTCCCGGGAAGCAGCCCCGAAAGACAGCCTCTGAAACCAGTCCCCAGGAGCAGCGACATAAACAGCCGCTTCACATGTCCGCATCCCAGACGCCTGGCACCTGGGAAGAAACAGGGCTTCACTACGATAAGGCGCTTCCTGGTGACAGGAGGCTGAGGTGATGTGTTTCTGAGCCTTGCCACCTATTCCTGTTTCTCTTCCTCATAGCGGGACCTTGACCTCTTTTTGATGTTTTTCCAGTACACTCCTCTGGTTTTTATTGTATTCTTTTATTATTGTATTATTCAGAACAAGTGTCGCTTGGAATTTGTTTCTGTCCCTGTGAAGCTCTTTGTGTCTGTTAGAACCGGATGTCTCAGTAACAGTATTGGTAATCGCTCATCTTTTTGTTTCTACCCGCAGAAGTGTAATGACAATCGTTAAGTCCAGGTCATTTCGAGAAAAGCAAGGGAAGATACTTTTGGAAGGTCGCAGGCTGATTGCAGACGCTCTCCAGGCAGGAGCTGTACCGAAAGTTTTTTTCTTTAGCCGTCTGGAATACATTAAGGAGTTGCCGGCAGATAAGTTGAAAGGAGTCAGCCTCATAAAGGTGAAATTTGAGGATATCAAGGATTGGTCCGACCTAGTAGCGCCACAAGGAATAATAGGTCAGTAGTTACACAATGTGTCACTAGGTATAACGACCTAGAATTTCTTGTTCATCTCTCCTAGGGCAACAAGTTTTATTTAAGACAAATGCAAAATGTTAACTGCTGAATCCTTTCTTAAAATACGACCCCCCGCCCCCCGCAAAATAGCGTTCTCAAGCCTGTATATGGTGTTTTCAGTGGAAGTGAAGCCCGTTTCTTTTATCTGTGTTATGGCTTTTTATAGTCTTTAGGAAGAGCCATTGTTCCTCGAGTTTCTTCAACTTTTGATGTCAGACTAAAAATTAAAATATTTCCTGAAAGATATGCAAAACCTCGGCCATTGTGGTGATAACTGTATCAGTAACCTCCTTGTGTCCAAAGCAGATCTAAAGAGCGAGGAGTAAGCTGTAACTTACTGCTGTTAGCCTAATGAGTAGAGCACTTTGTCTTCTGCAGTCTTACTGCATTTGCTTAACCTAACTTAAGGTTCACATAATTGTGATGTCTACTAGCACTTCTGTCTAAATACAGGAAAATAATTCTTTACACCTTTTCAGCATTGGAGCTAGGCATGTTTCCCTATTGTGGACTGATTGTTTTGACTCCATGTTTGGACTGTATAGCCATTAGTTGGGAAAAGAGATTCTGAGAAACTAGTTGTCTCCGTAACCCAGTGGGTCACAGGGATCTGTTTCCCTACACATGTTGTTCAGATTATAGGGTAGGGACTTGAGATTAAAGAATTTGGAGTTACACCAAATAGCCATACTCTCGTAGCTATACCTTTTAATCTCCACTCAGTGCTTAACTAAAAGTGGCATTCATTTTTACCACACTTGTCACTTTGGGCGTGTGTGTCGATGGTGTCTACCCAAATCCAAGTCTACCCATGTTGGACTTGGGTAGCCTTCATAATGTTGAATGATGACTGCTTTTATCATTTCATTTTAGCTGGGCATGGTATAACACATTTATAATCCCAGCACCCAGGAGGCTGAGGCAGGAGGATCATGGTGAGTTCAAGGCCAGCCTGGTCTACATAGTGAGTTCAAAGCCAGCCAGAACTATATAGTGAGACCTTGTCTCAAAAAAAAAAAATAAAAAAGATAATCATTTCATCTTTGTGGGTTTGTTTTTTTTTTTTTTTTTGAGACAGGGTTTCGCTGTATAGTTCAGGCTGGTGGCCTGGAATTCTTGGCAGTCTTAGTGCCTCAGCCTCGTGAGTACTGGGATTACAGGCATGTGCCACGACACTCAGCCACTTCATCATTTAAAAAAAATTGTATTATTTAGCTTATGTGTGTGATGTTATATTTTAAATTTGAGGAGGATGCTGAGGGTGAAATAGATAGGAACTAGCGCTACCTGCCAAGTGTCAGGCACTTTAAACCCAGTAATGTGAGTCTTCTACATGTAGACATCCAAGTATAAGTTAAGGATTCCTGAGTTCCCCTCCCCCACTGAGCTGTCTCTTGATCATCATGACTGTAAAGTGTGGGATCCTTACAGCACTCGGGTGCCTGATGCCATGATATTGTCTTCATTCAGGACTTTGGAAAGGCTCCTAAATTTTTCTTTGTATTATATATGAGGGCAGTAACTTTTTTTTTTTTTTTGCAGGGGTGGGGTACTAGGGATTGAACCCAGAGGCTTTGCAATGAACTACACTATATTCCTGGCCCTTTTTTATTTCTTTTATTTTAAGTTCTAAGTTGGTAAGTCCCTAAGACTGGGCTTAAACTTGTGATCCTCTTGCCTCAGTCTTCCAGAGTGCTGGGATAACACGTATGCACCCCCATGCCCAGCTAGTTGGATATAATTGTTCAAGCAGTTATATTATCTATCTTGCTATTTACTAGCAAGATGCTAGGAAAATGTTAAAAATTGTAGAAGCATTTGGGAGCATGCTTAGAAAGAAACTCCTATTTATATAAAGAGCTTAGAACAGTGTCTGACCTAAAAAAAAGTGTTAATTACCATTATAACCTCTACCAGCTCATTAGGAAAGACACCTGCTGTGGATGTGTAGTACACCCATGAGAATAAGTTCGTCTACACCATAGAAATTTCATACACTCTAAGGCCGTTTTTATTTTAATATTAACCCTTTCCCAGTCTTTGCTTTCCCCCTAAACATTTTCCATAAAACTTGGCAAGCTGCAGAGTACAATGTAGATATTATTAAATAAGAATTTTTTACTAAGTATACCACTTAGTGTTTTCATTTTTCCAGATACCTCCAAGCCCATTTATGTTTCCTTGTATTAGACTGAGGACAGGGAAGTCACTAGGTAAATACAGCCATGGTTGGTCTAAAACTCTCCAGCGTCTGGACTTCTAGCATGAGGATGAGGCCTTAGAAGTAACTTAGTCCCTCATTCACAATCCCTTCATTTTGCAACCTTTGCAGAGTGTGTCTCAGAAATAGTGCTTCTGAGCTGAAGTATTTGAAAAAAGGAGTCATTATTTTGATGCATCCAAAGTTTTGAATTCAGATTATTTTTCCTGGGAATGTAGTTTGAATTTTAAAATAAGCAATGAAAAAGAGTAAGTCTCAAGTCAGATACAGTAGACTGGTAATTGGTTTTTAAATATTTAGGTTAAATTTGCGAATTGTTTTTGATTTTTGAGACAGGGTCTTACTGTGTACTTCAGCCTGGCCTTGAACTCACTATGTAGTCCAGGCTGGCCTCCAACTCAGGGTGATCTTTCTGCTTCAGCCTCTGAGTGCTGGACTTACAGTAAATTTATAAATTACTAAAAAAATATTTAGCCTCCCTAGTAGTCAGGAAAACTTCAAGTTAATAAACGAAATGCCATTTCCCCCATCAAAATGGCAAAAATTGAAACATTATATACTCTCAGTGACAGGGTTTGAGCTGGGAAATGTATTTATATGTTCCAGACATGAGTAAACTAGAATACTCTTGGGGAGGGCACTTTGGTATCATTTATTAACACTAAAAGTGCATGTACACTGTTTATCCATCTCATAGGTATTTGTCCTAGAGAAATTTTCAGGCATATACACAGTCATAAAGGATGTTTATTGTAGCAGTGTTTGTAATGGAAATTTTTAAATGATTTGTCAGAAGAGTTAAATGAACTGCAGTACATTTATCTTACTAAATAACATGCAGCAGTTAGAGTAAACTGGTCCCAAATGTACTGACATGGTAAGTTTTTCCAGACATGTTATCAAGTAAAGTAAGTAGATCACAGAATAATATATATATATATATATATATATATATATATATATATATATATATATATATATATATATATATATATACTTGGTTTATGTTGAAAAGGAAATGTGCCTGTATGTAGGTAAATGCATAAAATTCTAAAAGGACATTCTCCAGGATTGAAAACAGGTGAGCAAGGAAGGGATTGGCAGTGGTGGAATTTTATGTTATTTCAATTTTTCAGCCAGAATGTATATATGTATTTTGTGTGTAATCAAGAATACATAAAGAATGATAAGCAAATGGAAAGTCAAATTATTGCCAGCACCCGCATCAGATAAGGGAACTTCCTGTGTTCTTTCCTTAGGGATTTTTGCCAGACCTGACTATGTTAAGATGACATATCCAAAGACTCAGCTTCACCACACACTGCCTTTACTGTTGATTTGTGACAATCTCCGTGACCCAGGGAACCTAGGGACAATTCTGAGATCTGCAGCCGGGGCAGGCTGCAGCAAAGTGTTACTCACCAAAGGTAAGAGCACCTATCACTGGGTGGATTGATTAGCCATTTTTAAATGAGCCAGGGCTCTAGGCAGACATGCGTGGGTCCAGATTGTGGATCTGCCCCTTACGAGTTTATATCCTTGAGCAGTATACTATCAGTTCCTTTATCTGTATTTTGTTGTTGATTTTGGTTTTTTGGAGACAAGGTCTCTCTGTGTAGTTCAGGCTGCCTTGAACTCACTATGTAGCCCAGGTTGGCCTCAAACTTGCACATGTGTGCCATGCTTGGCATCCTTATCTGTAAAATGGGAATCATAGGATGTTCCTCATAGGGATTTTTTTTTTTTGAGACAGGGTCTCACTATGTAGTTCAGGCTGGCTTTGAACTCACTGAGTAGCCCAGACTGGCTTCAAACTTGCGGCAGTTCTCCTGCCTCAGCCTCCAAAGTGCTGAGATTAGATGAGTGTGTCACCATGCTGGGCTTTTTTCTTTATAGAGAATTTTGAGGATACTTGAGGTGATTCAGATAAAATACATCATACCATGCCATGATCTAGTAAATGTTGATTTATCTTTTAAAATTTCTTTGAAATATAAGTTATTAGAACTTTTAAAATCAATCAGGGTAAAATACAGATGCCAGTTTTAACGTCTAGTTTTAGGTCCTGCATTTAATGATCTTGCGTTCCCAAGTTGTTGCGTCTACGAGAACTTCAGCCTTTGAATTCTGAGTCCTGTGAAGAAAACCTGTCAATAGAGTGTCCTGGTGATATATTTCCCATAGCCTCAGGATGGGTCACACACTCCATACTAGTTACCTCATTACCTCTGTCTCTTCTCATCAGAAATGGGGGTTATTAGACTTGGCTCTAATTAGAGTTGCTAAACGGACGGGCTGGGCAGAAAGTGCCTATTTCATCTTGGGGGTGGAGGGACAGGAGAGTATCATTCATCAAAATCACCTAAGCTACCATTAAATATAAGCTAATAGTGGTGGTCATGCTGAGACTTGCCTGAGTTGCTCCTTTCAATTCGTCCTGGTCATGCCCTGTTGGAGTATGTTTCTCTGCCAGTGTGAGGCTTAGGTCCTGGGGTTCCGTAGTCAGTACCTCACTTCCATTGTTGAGCGCTCTGGTAGCAGGTATGGATTTGGAAATGTTTGTATAATCCAGGCAGTGCAGTTTTCCCAAGGTGGCTGAGGCTGGTATGAAAAAGAGGTAGGAAAAGGAGTAGGAAATGCTTGCTGTGGTCCCAGCGTAAGGGCACGAGGAGAGGCGCGTCACCTTTTCCTTACTCCCCATTAGGTGAAGGGATCAGACCACACAGTTCCTCTCACAAATCTGGGCCGTTCTAGTCCCTCCCGCTGGTCTCTTGGCCCATGGCCTGCCTCCCACCCCTGGTTTCCTGCAGTGCACGGGTAAAGCCTGGGTGTGGGGAGTGCACGTGTGCACTCTAACGTCCGTGTCTTAGTCTCTGTTTTAAATCTGGTCTGCCTAGTTCTCCTATGTAGGTTTGACAGATGAACGTAAAGTAACAGGAGAAGGCTTATGCTAACAGGTTAGGGGAAGATGCAGCCATGGGTATCCTGGTCATGCCACCTCTCCCAGTTTGCCCATGGCGAGAGCAGACTCTGAGAAAGATCAAGTGTCTGCCATGTAGCCAGCACACAGACGTGGTCAGGCCTGGCACATGATGGTATGTGAAGGAGTAGGTTCGTCTGGCCTCCTTCCTGCAGTATGAAGAGTGCGGTGAGTGGTTAAGGCTCCTCTTTACCCTGGATCGCTGCACTCACTGTACCAGATTTGTCATCTCTTGTGTGGAGAATTTCTTTTCCAATCTAGAGTGAACATTGAAGCCAAATGGGTCTTTGTAAAACACCAATAAGGTTCTGTCACTGTTTGGGTTAAAATTCTTCAATGGCATTATATTGTCATCTGATAAAATTCCAAACTCTGTTTGGGCATGGAGGTGCACAGCACTCTGAGAGACTGAGGCAGGAAGATTCCAAGTTCAAGCCTACGCTGAATAATTTAGTGAGCCCTGTCTAAAATTTTAAAAATTTAAAGCAGAGAATGGCAGTCTAGTGAAAAGACCCTGGGCTCAACTCTCAATACTGCATCAATCTGTCAGGCAGTCTGAACTCCTGCCCGGGATGGTGGCTCACACTTGTGATCCCAGCCCTTAGGAGTCTGAGGAGGAGGGTTGCTGTGATTTTGAGGCCGTGCTGGGCTACATAATGAGTTCAAGGCCAGCCTGACCTACGGAGTGAGATCGTGTCCAAAAAAAATTTTTAAAATCCAAACTGCTCAGCTTAGCTTCCTCTATGTTGACAGCTGCCTGCCCCTTACCTTCTTTCCCAGCACAGCCCCACAGTCAGCTGACCTCTTGCTTGCTTGCAGTTCTGAGACCTTGGTACTCTGCCTCTTCTCTGACTTTGTCCTGTGCCCGAGCCTCTCTCTACAAGCCCCAAAGAGCCAGCCCAGTGTCACGATCTCTTAGATGTTTGATGTTTTTCCTGCAAGTTCCACTTTGTACAAGTTTTCAGTTACCTTGTTCATGCTTTTTTCATATCACTTACCACTAGTGCTTTGTTCTGTTTGAGACAGGGTCACACTATGTAGTCCAGGCGGGCCTTGAACTCACTGTATAGCCCAGGCTGGCCTTGGGCTGCCTCAGCCTCCCAAGTGCTGGGATCACAGGTGTGTGCCACCATGCCCGGATCACTTACCGCTAATGTTATCATCTGATTAAATACTGTCCCAGCATCACCACCCACTGTGCTTGAGCTCCTGAGGGGGTGTTCATTCCTTTCACATCCCTTCTACAGTGTTGGGCACGTGTGTACGGACAGTGTTGTCAGGACGAGCAAACCGTTTTGAGCACTGGCCGGCTAACCCCACAGCCCCTATACTGGATGCTGCCATTGCTTAGGAGGCTCTGGAAGGTCCCAGCTATCCAGAAGGCTTTAATGCAAAAAATTGTCTTAGCTCTAGATCCCAAACTAATCTGATTTACTGAAGTTTCCTAATGTGGAAAAGGTTTATGAAGTCTTGATTGTGTCCTCACTTTGCTTTCTAGGCTGTGTGGATGCCTGGGAGCCCAAAGTCCTGCGGGCAGGCATGGGGGCACATTTCCAGGTGCCCATTATCAACAATCTGGAATGGGACTCAGTGCCCACCTACCTGCCCCCTGACACCCGGGTCTACGTGGCAGACAACTGTGGCCTCTATGCCCAGGCCCAAATGTCTAACAAAGCCAGTGACTATGGCTGGGTGTGTGATCGGCGATTCCTGAAGTTTCACAAGTATGAGGAGGAGGAGGAAGAGGAAGACAAGGAGCTAAAGACCAGAGCCAACAAAGGTTGGCTCCCTGAAGTCGAGGTCCAGAGTTACGACTTGGAGTGGACGGAGGCACCGGCCGCTGTGGTGGTAGGCGGGGAGACCCACGGCGTGAGCCTGGAGTCCCTGCAGTTGGCAGAGAGCACTGGCGGCAGGAGGCTGCTGATCCCCGTCGTGCCCGGAGTGGACAGCCTGAACTCGGCCATGGCTGCGAGCATCCTGCTTTTTGAAGGGAAAAGACAGCTGCGGGTGAGAGGGGAGCACTTGAGCAGGGACAGGGGTTACCACTGAGAGGATGCCTCTAGCTGCCACCCCGGCTCAGCGTTAGGAGATTGACACAGTTGGCAACTGTGGCTTCCCAGGCTACATGCAGGAGGCAGGAAGTAGACATTACTGCCATTATATGGTTATTGGAACAGTAAGAATTTCCATAGAAGTTTCTCCCTTTCATCATAAATAACAAAGGTTATAATTCTTATGAGATCTCCCATCTCTTCCACCTAACCCATCTATTGAGGCTATAGATGATCCATATGCCTCTAAAAATTGTCCATTAGGGCTAGGATGTAGCTCAGTGTTAGAGTGCTTGGCCAGCAAGCACAGAGCTCTGGGTTCTATCTTCAGCACCTCACACACACAAAAAGTTACATCTTTTTGTCCAGAAAGTTTCCCAAGACAGCATCTTGGTCAGAGCACAGTTCCCTCCACCAGCTGGGGCTTGTTTCATGGCCATGAAGCACTGGTCATAAGCCATGGCCGAGTCACTTGCATCAGATCAGTGGTCATTGGGAAATAAATGCCTACGAAGTACAGAGCCAGAGATTACATTAAAGTTTCGTGTGCATGTGGTCAATGCGTGTCTCTTTGCATCTTTGGCCTAGGGATGAGGACACTGCTAGGAGATTAGTGACTCAGGAAGCTAAGGGGTACAGGTCATGGCATTCACCCTCTGGCTGTTCTTTGGGGCTGGATGTGTCAGCTTGTGGGGTTGTTTGTTTAGCCTTTCACTGTAGCAGCTACTGTCTGTATTTCCCCCTGTGGCAATCAGTAAAAAAGGTTAATTTTAAGTGATGTCATACCTTTTTATCATCTCTCTAAATAACTTTTTGAGCACTATGCAAAAAAGAAACTGGGTTCTAAAATCTGCAGCTTAACATTGCATCTGTCAGGAGAGCTTGACTTTCACTAGCTGCCTTCCATAACTAGTCCTTGTTATGGGTTAGATCTAACTTGTCCCACAAAAGTCTCATGTACTCTGACGGGGACTTTTGGAAGGTGGTTGGGATCAAAAGGGTGATGTACGTAGCAGTGGATTAGTCCATCGATGAGCTTATGGCTGAGTGTGCTGTTAGGAGGTGGGGTCTGTCTGGAGAAGAACTCACAGAGCGGGGAGGGGACGTGGACGAGGGCATTCTTGTCCCCAGCTCCTCCCTTCCCTCTAGTTTCCCAACCACTGTGTGAATAGCTTTCCTCTGCCGTGCTGTTTCTGCCATGGAGCCAGCCGACCATGGACTGAACGCACTGAAACTGTAAGGCAAATAAACCTGTCCTCCTTCACCTTGCAAGGGTCGAGTATTTTGTCCAAGATGGGAAAGTGACGGATACAGCCCTACTTTATGTAACACTTGGCTAGATGTAAGGTACTTACTTACACTGCTATTCCCCTTCCCTCCATGAGGACAGAACTGCCCAAGAAAATGACAGTGCTCCTGGACGCAGTGTGAACAGAGGGTTCCTTTGAGGGGAGGGCGGCTGAGGTTCTGAGCGCTTGGGGCCCTTGGCACGCCACATTGCTGCAGGACCCTGCTATTCTCTCCAAACTCCAGCAAACCAGAGCAAGCTGCATCCTTACTTAGCAGGTGCCAGCCAGGGATGTGAGGGCGGATGCAGATGGTAGTCACTGTATCTGTGGGCAGCTGTGGGACGGGGAGGGTAGACTGGGTATGGAACTCATTCCTAACACTTTTTTTTCTTTTTTGAGATAGGGTCTTGGTCATTCAGGCTGGATTTTAACTCACTATCTAGCCCTTCCCCCTCCTGCCTCAGCCTCCCAAATCCTGGGATTATAGGCATGTGCCACCATACCCAGCCAAACACTGCTTTTGTAACCACAAAGAACAAGGTTGGTGGAGTTGAAGGCAACACTAGGGATGCAGTTTTACGACATCCCTTTGATACAGTGGCTCTGGTAATGGTTTGGATTCTGTGGGGTCCTTCAGGTGCTCATTCCAGGGTGGTTGAGTGAGTTGCCAGCATAACCAACGGAAAACATGTAACCCTCCTTCCTTCCCTTTCTGTCCCTCCAGGTCCCAGTAAAAGTGCCTTTCGGGGGAACCAAGTAGTCAGGTGTGCGCAGTGCCCCAAATGGCAGGTGGCACTGCTTTGGTGTGTTTAAAGGAGAGCGTTAGCAGTTTTCAGTTTGGTTGGCAGCGTCCCCCCAGGCTGAGCAGCCTGAACTGCAGCTGGGGTGTCTGGTCCAGGTCTGCCAGGGACCCCCACAAATGTCCAGAGCGGGGGGCTCACAGTTTGTTGAGGTTCTCCATCACCAGTCAGCTTTCAGAAAGATCGGGAGGGTTGAGATCGCCCATCCACCTTCAGAAAGTACAGGGGCCCAGAGCCTTCTGCGCCGTTGCCCACAAGCAGCTGACAAACCTGCCAAGCTGAGAAGAGTGCAGGAGACTCACACTGGCAGGCTGGGCCTGGCAGGCAGCCTGGAGAAGTCCTACCACTCCAGTCTGTTCACATTTCCTCTCCCCCTCAACACCGTACAAATGTGCTAAGAAACGAGTTCCTTAATGGAAGCCTTTATCTTTCCAGCATGAAACCAGTGTCCTATAATTTTGTCTCTGGATTATGTTCCTGCTGGGTTTTATTACAAAATAAAAATCAGTGAAAGAACAAACCATCTACCTGATCATCGTGGGTGTCAGAGGAAAAACTACGCAAGATTCGCTGTACAGTCAGTGGCTCGCAGTGTCGAGTTCTTTTGTATATTCATGGGTCTGGCTTAGCCTGGGGGCGTGGAGGAGGGGCAGGAGGGTAACTCCGTTGTCTTTCACAGGACTGCTAGGTACCAAGTGGTGGTTACAGCACTTCCCGAGTAATACTGGAAAATCACTATCATGAATTCCCAATGTTGAGGCCAACCCTTGTTCTGGCACCCTCTTCCCAGTAAACAGTAAAAGTGAGCAGCATATGACAAGAAAAACTGCTTGGCTAAAAGATGAACGTTGTCGAATGCTAGCCAAGCTCCCGCCTTTTGTTGAGGCACCGCTGTAGTGCTGCTTTCTGCCACGAGGTGGCGGGCCACGCCTCAGAACCACCTCTCAAAGCTGCAGGGAGGGGTCGGGATTGTTGCTGGATTTAAATTATTCAAAGGAGGGGATAGAAGGATGGAGTCAAGTCTCCACCATAGGGCAAGCCCAGAGGCCTTAGAGGACCACAGAGATTGTCACACCTGGGGACAAGAAGGATCTGAAGTTCAGGAAGACTGTACTAAAAACAAGAGAAATGGAAAGTGGCAAAACTGGCCCGGCCTCTCCCTGTGATGGAGCTTCTGGCGGAGCGGCTGGGCAGCTCCGGGCAGATGTTAATGCCCCAGTGAACCCCAGTCACAAGGGGACCCAGCGGCTGGGCAGCTCCGGGCAGATGTTAATGCCCCAGTGAACCCCAGTCACAAGGGGACCCACACAGGGCCCTTCAGTTAGTGCTGCAGGGCAGGGGGAGCAGAAAGCATTCTCTTCCCCCACCCCAGCTGCTGACTCCCGCGCAGACCCCTGGTCATTCGGGCCCCCAGGAGAAACGGATCTCTGGACCTCCTACCGCTTGCCCCGGGGCTCACAGCAGCTCCAGATGTCAGCACCATCCAAGCTGAGCCGAGCCACCTTTGCCGTTCCCCACACAAAGACCCCAAAGCAGCACCTGCCCAAGGTTCCCCAGCTAGTGCTGAAACCCACAGCTGTGCTGCAGGGCCCGGTCCTCCCCTCTGGGTCTAGCTGCTGCCTCCCTCAGGAGCAGATGTCACTTGTTCTTTAAATTTTTTCAAGAAAGCACTCCTGTTTTGTTTTGGGTACTTGCACTGCACCCAGCCAGGGTCTCACACACCTAGGCAAGTGCTCTACCACTGAGCTACACCCCAACCCATTTTCTTAAGATTATTTTTTGACACAGAGCTTGCTAAATTGCCTAGTGTGGCCTCAAACTTTTGATCCTCCTGCCTCAGCCCGCCTGAGTAGTTGTGATTATAGGTATATGTCACCATGCCTGGCATGTTGCCTCTTTTAAACCCCAAGATTGTATTTCCTCCGTGAATGCATGAATGGAATAAGCTAGAAGCCAAATTAATGGGTGAAGTAAGTTTCTGAACTGAAGAGCCATATCACATCTGAGTAGCTGACATCACGCTGCAGGCCCAGTCCTCGCTGGAAGCCTCAGCACTGACACTGAACGGTCAAGTATGACCGATAACTGCGATGTGTCATGTATGGGGTCAGTTCTGCTCTTCCTATTTTTTTTCTTCTGAGATGAGGTCCTGCTATGTTGCTCAGTCTTGGCCTCAAATTTTGACCCACCTCAGCCTCCTAGTAGCTATGATTATGCTAGATCTGACTTTTCCTGCTCTTAATATTGGGAATTCTGGTTGTGTTGGAGGCAAGTGCCCCTTTCCTCAGCTGAAGCCTTAGAGTTAGGTGGGCCACTGCCAAAGCTGCTGCTTCCTCAAAATGCATGAAGGAACAAAGGAACAAAGGCGGTGCAGGGGCATCATTTAATAGAAATCTAACTGTCCCTCAGAACAAGTTTCACCCACACCTAACACATTTCCTGGCTTGGAAAATATTCCAAAACACCAAGGGGGTGAGCCACACTCCTGCCAGGAAAAATGAAGCACACTTGCCCTGTGTCCTGTCTTCCCCAGGAGGAGGAGAAATCCCAGCCATAACGCAGAACCGGTAGAAAACTACATGCAGCCTTTTGTTTCCTGGAAAACCTTTCACCCTCCACACGTTCCCAGGCCAGTGGCACTAACAAAGAAGCTCAGTCAATGACCATCTGTCCCCAGAGAATCTTCCCTTATGCAGACTACTGGGAGGAAAGGCTGTAGGGAAGGTGCTGACTTCAATGCAATTGCTTTGACGGAAAACGTGGAAGAGCCTCCTGTGCTCAGGGTCCCCAGGTCAGTCCCCAGAGAGGAGCTGCAGGGGGCACTCCTGAGCCTCTGCAGTCCATGTTTTTTGCTACTCCAAGATCTGTGCCGCAGTGGCGTTCCAGTCCCAGGCGGCAAGCCTGGACCTGCCCCGGCTAGGACCACATGCTCTCTTCGGCTCCTGTCAGCACGACAGCTCTATGTGCAGCATTGCTACCTGTGTCCTCACACACCCCTGGCTGTCTCCCCACCCTAACAGTGCAGCGCCGTGCCAGGTCCCCCTGGTCCGCTCCCAGACCAGACCCTGTTGCTCGTCTCATCAAGGAATGCAGTTTGCTGTGTGGAGCCCAGCAGCAAGCGTGGGAACAGCTTTTTAGTGTCTTTGGTGAGGCAACAGGAACAAACAAAGCCTGGCTGAAAATCACCCCTTGAAGCTTGGCTGATGCCAGAAAAGCAGTACTGGCTCCCTATGTTGGGATAAGTGATGGGCATTGATTGCAAGCCACATTTGCGGGGAGGGGACATAAACAACGGCAGAACATCACCACACTCCTGGGAAGAAAACTTGGTTTCCGTCTGCCCTCTCTACATACCAACCCCAACGTGTGCCCTTTTTTTTTTACACAGATCTTTAATGTGGTGAGACAGTTTTATTTTATTTTTTTAAAAAAACTCCTCTCTTGTGAGAATGAGTGGAGTGGGATCTGGAGGTTGTTGGAAGTTGTGCACACAAAGTTAGGAAACCCGGGGTGGCATTCTTACAGCCACCTCCCCGCCTCAACCCGCAGGGCATGGCTTCCCTGGCTGCCAGTGGGAGTCTTTGAATATGTCACAGCTGGGGATTTTAACCTGCTTCCGATAGCAACAAGACTTGTAAGGCATTTTGGAGCTGCTTGGTGGGATCTGTCACGCCACCCACGTTATCTGCATCAATAACCTTTAGGATTTCTGTGGGGAGAGGGGTTTTCCTTAGCACCTGTGAAATGATTTGTCTCTAATATTCCCCCTGGTGTAGCCACTGTGTAGACTCAAACCCTTTCAGTAAATCTTCCCTGCTGATCTAAACCTACCTCTGCAACCCAGAGGGGAACTCTGGTGATGAGGATCCAGGTGACTTTGGTGGCTGGTGACTGAGAAGAGTCAGCCTGGAACAGGCCAAAGTATCACAGGTGCCCTAATTATTCCACTGCAGTGGTCCCAGCAACTCATCACTGGACCTGCTGCTTCTGCTCCCAAAGACAAGTAGCTGCTAAGCGGGATCCTCTTGCCCAAGACAAGCTTGACATAAGACACGGGGAGGGGGAAAAAAAAGACATGGACAGGAATCTTCCAGGGGAGGGACTTCCTCTTGTACCCACCCCCTGAGCGCCACTGGGGGAGTCGCTTCAGAAGCCTCTCACCCTTGGGTATGCTGGGCTTGGGTGTCCCCAGCTCTTGCCTCATTCTGGGACACCCATGCCACGTGTTACGGTCTATATCTAGACGCCCACCCCCGAAGAGCCTCACGCACGCACAGGCAGGCTTTTGGAAGGTGACAGAATAATGCTGGGAGTGATCGAGCGGACTTGCTGTTAGGAGGTGAGGCCTGTCGGAAGAGACAGGTCACTGGCGGTGTGACCAGGAAGGGTGTCTCTCCCTCCCTGGCTCTTGTTTTCTCAGTTTCCCGGCTGCCGTGACATGAGCAGTTCTTCCTAGGCTGTATTTTTCTGCCATCCCATCCCGCCTTGGAGCCAGCAGACTGTGGGCTGAAAACACCAGCCAAAGTAAATCTCTTCTTTAGGTTGTGGGTGCTGGGTGTCGTGTCTCAGCAACAAGCAAGTAACAGACACTGAGTTAGTCCTCGTGTGCAACAACCCCCGCCCCGCCGTCTCAGATCTCGGAGCCCTCAGCTCCCCTGCAGGAATGGACACTGCAGGGATGTCCACAGCAACTTTTGCAATCTGGGAATTCACCCTCCATCAACTGCCAAGGCAAACCAGGAGGGGCAGTGGCCAGAGCTCCAGGAGGATCATCTTCCCACCCTCTCATCCAAATGAGCTTCCTGAGGGGCTGGGGATTTAGATCAGTGGCAAAAGCGCCTGCCTGGCAAGTGCAAGGTCATGAGTTCGGTTCCCAGTATCGGAGAAAAACAAAAACAAACAAACAAACAAACAAACAAAAAAAAAACCAAATGAGCTTCCTGGCTTCTGGAACCAAGAAGATCTGACAGATGGTCATGTTAATTCTTAGGCTGCCCTGATCCTCTCCGCCCCTATGCTGAGGAATGAATTCAGGGCCTTGAGCTTGCTACGCGAGTGCTCCACCACTGAGCTATCTCCCCAGCCCCAGTTCAAGGGATTCTTGAAAATTCTGGAACATAATCACCAGAGGTTGTCTCTGGCCACCCCCTAATCGATCAGGGAAGGCCAAGTGGGTGATAATGTCCAGAGATGCCCGCTTTATTTCTTACTAGGTGATTGTATTTCAGGCTGGCAACATCGAATAGTCTAATTACCAACTAATTTTGTACCTCTGAACTACAAACCGACAATCCATTTCGGTAAGGAACAACAGTGTCGACAGCTTATGGGAGAAGCTGGGTTTTCCAAATGAATGGTTTTGGTTGGCAGAGTGCTGAGTGACCCTGAAGGGAAGGCCCAGGAGTGTTAGAAGACCCTGACACCTGCCTGAGACAGGCGAAAGCCCTTGTGAGTCCCTAGGCCTAGGCCCTCCCCACCAAATCCCAAGGACATAGTTGTTTCCCTTTTTGTGGTCAGTTCAGCTCAAGTAAGAGGCCAGCCTACCTGGGCCCAGCAAAGGGGGCCCAAGGCTGACTTGTAGTTGCCCTGTCCTCTGTCCCCACTCCTGCCCTAGGGCACAGCCCCCTCTGCAGCTGCTTTTTAGTGAAAAGCTTAGCTTCAGGTAAATTCTTGTTGCTTCTTAATGCTGCTTTGAAAAGAAAAGGGAATGACAAGGGTAACGCAGGGGGGTGCAGGTGCCTTGGCAGAGGTCCAGCAGCCTCAGGCACAGAGCTGGGCAGAGGCAGGTCTGTGCCAGTTTGGCACAGCTCCTCTAAGAACTCAGGGCCCAGTGTCTTGGGAAGATGCCCAAGGAAAAGAATTCATTAATGAAATTCCAAGACAGCAGAAGCTGCTTGCAGCAGCAGGCAGAAACTAGGAGAAAGTGAAGAGCAAAGAAGAAAGAGGTAAAAGGGAGAAATGAGAACCTCCAGTCACACGGCAGAAACTCAATAAAAGTAAGCAATTACTATGTGAATCGTTACCTTAGCTACTTTTTTTCTCACCCCCCCAAACCCATAAGCTTCCTTTCAGATTTGGAGATTTGCTGCCCAAGAACCCACTGACAAGCTGCTGTTTATCCCTAGGACCAAAAAAGACCAGGTCCTCTGGAAAAAGGTGCTCTCACCAACAGCTCTCGGCTGGTGCCTGCCAAGCCAGCGGCCCTCTCCCTGCTCCATCTGTGTGCCTGTGTGTCACCAAGCAGCTCCCCTCCAGCTCTGTTGGGTGCTGGGTATGTGCAATGACTCCAGAGTCAGACCTCAATCTGCTATCGGTCACCCTAACAGGGCCTTCACCGAGAGCTAGTGACCTGGAGAGAGAGTGCTGCAGTGCTAGTTTTAGCTAGGTTATGTCATCTCCACAAATCCTAAGCAATCTCCCAACATGGTAGGTACAGCTGCTATTGTGAGGATGGGCACCTTTGGGTGCTGGCTGAGGAGTTAATGCAGAAACAAGGCACTGCAGAGAGGTTGGACTCTTGGGCTGTGTGATTCAGTACACGGTGGTAAAGTCCAAGGGCAGAGGGGAAAAAGGGGAGGAGGAAGAGGAGACAGTCTTAAATAATGGCTCAGGAGGCCGGAGCTCCACTAGATGGGCTCTGGTTTGAGCTTTTCTGCTAGGAAGTCATTCACAAAGGCCTCCACAATGGCAGGGGTGATCTCCTCCACGTCCATCACGTACTTGGCCCGGGCGGACATGTCCAGAATGGTGAGCAGAGGGGCAGCCTCAGGCAGGTTGGTGTAATCTCGCAGGGAGTCAGTCATGTCATCCTGGAAGTCACCAGAGGAGAGAGAAAACTAGCAAATTTAAAAAACAAAGTCCCCCTCAAAGATTAAAAAACAGAGTCCCCCCTGGGGAGCCCATTCTCCTCAGAAGACAGGGACAGCACCCCTATTTGAAGGGCAGGTAACCCCACCCTGCCTTAGGGAGAAGCCCACTGCTCTGGAAAATTCCCTGTGTATCCCCCAAACCACAGGGGAGTCATCTGTCTTTGTTCGCATGAAAGCAACTTTAACATGACCTCTGAGTTTTAAAAGTATGATATCCTTTGATTGCTCTCTTTTTGAGACAGGGTTTCACTATGTCCAGGCTTGTCTTGAACTTACTATGCAGCCTCAAACTTGGCAATCTTCCTGTCTCCACTTGCTGAGCGCTGGGGTTACAGGCATGTGCCACCATGCCTGGTCTGCTCTTTTGTGTGGTGTGTGGTATATGGTCCTGGGGACTGACCGTCCATCAACAATACCACTAACCTACATCCTAACCCTTTTGGTGTTTTATTTTGAGATAAGGTCTGGCTAAGCTGCTTAGGTTGGCCTCAAATTTTCAATCCTCCTACCTCAGCCTCCCCAGCAGCTAGGATTACAGGTACGTGCCAGACGGCAATTAATTCTTAATTATCTGTAGCCCCCCTGTGAATTATTTGCGTTGGACTTGGACTCTGGAATGGTCTTAAATAGAAACAACTCACTGCCTCCCACACTGTGGTTTTAAGGAAAGCAGGAGTTGCCTGAAGGCAGGGCTGCTTACGGACTACAGTTTTTGCTGGTTGGCTGTGTTTGTCGGAGAAAGAAACTGCTGCTTTATACCTATTCCCGGCAGCTGTCCAGGTGAATTTCTCTCATATCGGGCACTGCCTTGTTCAAATATAAAAGCAAACACAAATCTAATGGTGAGAAAAAGGTTTGTCAGGAAGCGACAATTTGGGCTGGCCTTTCACACTACTGACCCTCATTTGTTAGGTAACAGAAAACAGGCTTTACCCACCCTGGGATCATTGTGCTATTAAATGGACAATATTCTAAACTTGAAGAACCAGATATGGTGGCACATGCCTGTAATCCCAGTGTTCTTGAAAGCTGAGGCAGGAGGGCAAGCTTTGGCCAGCCAGAGTGACTTAACTTAGCAAAACCCTGTTTCAAAAATACAAAATAAAAGGGCTGGGGATGTAGCTCAGTGCAAAAGCCCTGGGTTCAATCCCAGATGCCACAAAATAAATAAATAATAAACTTAATGAAAAACGTGAATTACCCTGTAAAGAAAGGGCTTTTATTATTTCTGGCCTTAAATGGGGGTGAAAAGGGGGCATGTTTACAGCTCACTGATTTCTGAGACAAAAACAAAAACAAAAACAAACCCCAAACCATCACTTTCTCAGAAAGCAAATCTTTAGGAAAACTGTTAGTGATAGTCTTTTCTTCCCCCTAAGACAGTATGCACCTTCCCAGCAAATGCAGAATGATTCCACATCTCTGGCAATCTTCACCCAATTCAGGGCCTCCATACGGGGTTAATAAAAAAATCTTCAGGATAAACAGAGGGAGGCACCTGGACAAATACTGCACATCTCATTCCCACTAGGAGCCTAGACCAAGCCCAGGGCTCCCCTGCCTCCCCTCTCTGTCTCCTGCTGAGCAAATCACAGGGAGATGAGTTTCAATGTCCACTATGGCTTCAGGAGTGATGAATTCTGCCTGCCACAGGGGATAGCAGCAAGACAGAAAAATGGGGCCTCTTTTACCCCAGGCCAGAGTGTTGGGTTCAGTCAATGCCTGATGTTCCAGCTCCCTGTCCCTTTTCCTTGCCCCTTCCACACTGCTTTGCTTCTGACCATGAGGACAGAGAATGGGACCAAGGAAGCCATCGATGCCAGAAGCCCTGATGAAATACACAGCAAGCCTGGAGCAGGGAGGGACTGGAAGTGGACGACACAGCCACCTCTGCCCAGCCTTCTGGGTCCAGGCAGCCCTCCTCCTGTCCTCACCCTCCCCAACCGCCTCCTTCTAGGCATGAGTGAGTCCATTTATCAGAGCCCGTGGACCGAAGGAGGAACAGCGCTGTTCTGGGAGTCACTGTGTCCTCAACTTCAACGCCCTCTCTGCTGCCCATTCCCGTGTGACCTGGACAAGACACCTCTCCAAGCCCAGGTCCCATTCCCTGCCCAGTGGATTTAACAAGAGCTCCCTCTCCGGGGCTGGGGTGAGAGTGAGCTAGCTCTGGCACCCTGGAGGGAGCACAGGGGTCCCTCAACTAGTCAAACCTTGCTTTCCTCCTCCGAGACAGGACAATGGCTAGGTTCCCAGCCAGAGAGGTGAGATACAAAGGAGACAGCAGGTGAAGCACTTGGCTGGGTGCCTGGGATCCTGAAAACCCGCAAATGCTCCTTTTCAGCCCCATTTCTACGTCCCCGCCCCACAGCCCTCAGCCCATTCTGTTCTGCACCCATCTTTTCTTCCCAGCCATTCTCCAGGGGTTAGAGTTTAATACATGCAGAGCAGCTCACTGCGCTTTGTGTGCAGCCAAGTGGCTGGTGAGCCCTGAGGCAGGGCTTGTGAACCCTCTTTGTTCCCCTCCACCCCTGGGCTGGGCAGGGCGACTTGAGCTGCTTTCGAGGGGCCCCTGGGAGGGCAGCCAGGGGCGGCTATTGAGGAGGTGATGAATGGGTGGTTCAGGGTGTCTGGCCAGCCCCCTTCCCTTCCCCATGCCTCTCCTGGGATCCAAACACAGTGTGAAATGAGCAGGGGCTCCGACCAACCAGAGGTACAGAGGGGTGCGTGCAGGACAGGCTGGCTTCACAGAGTATCGGTGAATGCCTGCTTCAGGGGGCGCCGGGGTTGGGGAGGATGCAGTGAGCATGCGCGGAGGGTTCTCTCCCAGCAAGGAGCACGCCTGCGCTATGTGGCCATCTCGCAGAAAATGGCTATCTGTGAGATGCAGGTTCCCATACCTCAGGGCATACTGTCACCTGTGCACAGGGTTCCACTCCAGGGCCTGCTTTCTTATGCTGGGAAAAGTCCTTTGTCTTGTCCAGCCCAACAGAGGCCTTTTAGGGCCAGGCCTCAGATGCTGAAGGCTGGGAACAACAACAGTTTCCAACTTCAGCGCTCTCTCTCTGAGCTGGCTGGGTGACTGCAGACCCCAGCTGTGGTCAAGTCGGGATCCCTGCAATGGGCTAAGTAAGGCCACTCTGCAGGCCGGTGTGGAGGAACTAGCAAGCTGACCCTGTGTCAAGCATCCTGGGCCTGTTCTGACCCTAGCACCATGGAGTGACAGCGGATGGCAGATGTGTGTGGGGGGACTCCCCAGCAGCCTGAGTAACAGCCCTGGGAGGGTTTCTTACTGTTCTGAGGCTGCCGGGTAGGAAGGAAGGAAGCACGAAGCAGCAGGGGTAGGAAATGGTTTTCCTGGGCAAACGATATACCTTTGCTTCCACATTTGTCTATGGCAGAGTCAACCCAGGCCCAGAGGTCCCTTCAAAGCCCCTCAAGGCCAGTGTCACTCATGCCCGAAAAGTACCCTGCTGAGCCAGCCTTGTCAGACCCCCTCCACACTCACCTCCCCAGCCACAAAGAACAGAAGTGGTGCCTCTTCCTCTTTGGCTTTGTACTTGGCAATGATTTTCTCCGCTATTGGCTGAATCAGCTGTTTGGCTGCCTCAGACTCTCCATCATCCTCAGAATCTGTGATGGAGGAAGAGGGAAAGAGATAGAAAACTCTGGCTTGTTAAATGCTGGTGCTCACCAAGTGGGCCTGGGTCCTGGGCCTGAGCTACAGAAAGGCCCGTCTGAACAGCCCCTGAGTGGGAAAGAACTTTGTCTTAGACATAGGTCTTACTTCCCGCGTGCACATGTGTGCGTAGCAGCAACAAAGAACGTTCACACAGTACCTTCCCGCACTGGCTCACCAGGGGCAACCTGCCTCAGTGAGTACCACTCTGGGCAGACACCTTATCACTGAACTCCTTGCAAACCCACCCTAGAAGCTGAGCTGGCCCCTAAGCAAGGACCTGAGGTCCCTACTGGTCTTTTTCTCCATCACAGAATGCAAAGCCATGACCTGGGACCTCTGGTCTTGTAGTGAAAATGGCAGAAGTACTGGCAGAGAAGGAGAGGGCCAACTGCATGTGAGAACGCAGATTAGGTTCCCCCAGCACGAGCAGCCGTACACAGAGGTGTCAGGTCCTGCATGCTGAAACCTGTAGCTGACAGCAAGCACAACATCTCCAAGTGGCAAAAGCAGGGGAGGGGGACAGTAGGCTCCTACACCGTGGTTTTACCCAGCAGTGCTGCACCACCCAAGAGGCCCACGGCACACAGAGAGACGGCAAGACACACTCTGGATCCCCACCTAATCTGTTTGTGATGTTATCCAACTTGCCTTGCCTCTCTGGGGTAGACCCTGTTTCCACATCTCTGCTGATGGCCATGAGGTACCTAACTGTCCCTGGGTTCAGAATTATTTCCTAACTAACCTAGGATGGCAGAAAAGCCCTGGCGTAGAGATTCCCCAAGGCTGCCTCTCTCTAAGGGGACTTCCTTCCCAAGCCCAGACCCAGCCTACAAGTCCAGTTGCTTAAGAATTCCTTCGCGTCTGCTTATCAGCTCCTCTCCGGTGCTCCCCAAACCAGACCTTAGATAACGGAGGAGGATGCTGCTCCTCAGTCTCTCAGCAAAGCGGGTATGGCCCCTCTCAGCCGTGATCTACTACAGCAGTTTGGCTGCGGGAGAGCGACAAGTCCCAAGGCTGGGCACAACACGGTTCTTGGCTAGAACTGTGTGTTCCTCAGTTTACAAAAGCAATCTGGCTCATCTCACTGGGCCACAGGGATCGCAATATGGATGCTCTCCTGTCTTTCTGCCCTAGATGGGAGCAGCCACCTACGGGGTCAGTAAGTAATGGAAGAGCCAGGGATGTCTCCCCGACTCCCCGGCCAGCTGTTGCAGCCCTGGAACAGCCTGAGCACAGCGCAGAAGCAGCCCGGGGTGAGTCATAGCCTGAGGGGGCCCAGCCCCCTGCAGCTGCTGTGTGTGCGGCCCCGCCTCTTTCCAACAATGGCTCTGTTCATGTGGGGCTGGGGGCATCCTCCAGGCCTGACCTATTCTGCCCAGCTGGCAGCCAGGACAGCCCCGAGGTACGGGCCATCCCTGCCACGGTCTAGTACAGCAGTTCGGCTGCAGGAAAGCAACAAGTCCCAAGGCCGGGAGCAACACAGTTCTTAGCTAGAACTAGGTGTTGTTCAGTTTACAAAAGCAATCTGGCTCATCTCACTGGGCCACAGGGATGGTAATGTGGAGTTCTCACACGCTGCTGCTGTGAAAAGCACAGCAGTAACAGCTCCCAGACCACCTCCCCCAGGGGGAGAGCCATGAATAAATCATCGGGGTCAAAAGTGAGGCTGCTGCAGAGAGACAAAGGCCCAAGCTCAACCCGGTTAGTGGCAGGAAGAGGCTGCAGGGACAGGCAGCGCTCCAGTGAGGTCCATCCTGGCCCTTCCCCACCCTGGGCCCCCCGCTGAGCTCCATACCTACAAAAAGGACGAGGCAGGGCCCCTCGTTGAGCTGCACAGCATTGGAGTCAGAGAGCTCCAGCACGGGCTTGGGGTGCCACGGGAACTCCCTGCAGTCCTCGTCGTTGAGCACCTCCACCCGCCCCTGCCGTGTGATTACCTCCCCCTGTGGGTCCAGCACGATGAGCGTGGGGATGCCTGCAAGAGAGAGTGCTCATTTGGCCACCAGTCTGGGAGGGGTGGCCAGATCGGGGACACAAGGCACACTCACAATCAAGAATCCAGGCCTGGAGCCTGAAAGCCTTGGGCTGGATCCAGGCTTGGCTGCTGGGTAACTGCAATACTTCCTTGGGTCTGCGTGGAACCTCTCTAAAAACCCTGAGCAATTGCTTTGCCAGGGCCTCAGGGGCCTCCGGGGCCCCCAGTGACGACATGTGAAGGTGCTGTATTCCTACCCTTTCCCACCCTGCAAGAGCAATGAGTAATGCCCTTAAAAAATGAGCACACAGCTGCGCGTGGTGGTCCATACCTACACTGCCAGCCCTCTGGGAGGCCGAGACAGGAAGACTGCAAGTTTTGAGGCCAGCTTGGGCAATTTAGCAACTTAGTGAGACCCTATTTCAAAATAAATTTAAACAGGACTGAGGATGTTCCTCAGTGTGAAGGCCCGGAGTTTCAATCCCTAGTATGGAAAAAAAAAAAAAACGCCAAAAACAAAACCAGAATTGAGCACACGGCGGCTCAGGGATGTATGCAGTGGTAGGGCACCTTCCTAATATACAACAGGTCCTCATTTTGATCCCTAGCACTGTGAGGAGGAGCAGGAAGAAGAAGAGGAGGAGGAGGAAGACCAAACACAGGGTCTTGGCACAGTGGAAAAGGTAGTCACTGGTGATTCCCTAAAGATACAGGAGACCTCCCACCTATAGAGAGTCACACACACACACACACACACACACACACACACACACACACACACACACACACACCCCACACCACACACGGCAGCCAACAGGAGCAGACTCTTCACACAGACCCAGGGCCACAGCGAGCAGCGGGGTGCAGGGAGGAGCCTGGGGCCAGGGCTGTAGCGGCAGAAGAGAGGGAAGCGGACAGCTGGCTGCTCCTGAGTAGCATAGCCTTTTGCCGTCCCCTACCCCCGGGCTCAGCCCTGGTGCCAATATACGCTGGGCAGTCCCCACAGGGAACAGTACCCGGGATCCTGGGCTAGAGTAAGAAACGCAACGTAGAGCTTGCCTGCCTGCAGATACACACACCATCAACCAGGGGGCCACCGGCAAACACTGAGAAAAGTTCCTCCTGGGTGACAGTCCTGTCTGCGTCTGCACTTGTTTGCTCTTCACACCCCACTCCCCACCACTCCTCCTCTGGCCAAGGCTGCCCCCCTCATCAACCACAGAGTCAGCCTCCTCCCTGTCCTCTGGGGACATTTGTCTCTCCATTGGTATCTGTCCCCTCCCCTCCCAAAGCAATCCAGACACCTCCCCTCCCAAGCCAGAACAGAGCTTGAATTTTATATGAAAGCCAGGGAAATTTAATATTTATAGATTCCAAAGTATTTGGTCAGTAATTTGCTCCACTGACATTTTACTTCTCTGTCGGGGGGACGGTTGAATACCAGAAATGTGGCCCTGGTGTTCTGTAACCTGCTGCGGCAGCCAGCCCAGTGGGCATGCGGTGGGGGGCCTGTCTTCAAAAGGAATAAATGAATCCATTATGTTCACACCTATTAGAAGAAGTGGCTGGACGTGTCAGGGAACAGGTCCAGAGAGAACCGGGCTCCAGGACTGCCACTCCTGCCACATCACACACAGACACATGCAGCCGTCACTCCCTGGGGACTTTTAAGGTGCGCTCGCTCGGCAATGAACAGGATGTGTCGGAGCCCAGGAGCCCGGTGCTTCCAGCCTTGTCCTAACAGCTGCTTCTCCCCCCCACAGGCCCGGGCCCACACTGAGCGTGTCTCTGTCCCTGGGACCAGGGTGTGGACTCAAGTCAGCTGCGTGCAGGGCCCCACATTACCGCATCCCAATAAAGCTCTGGCACAGTTCCTTCATCTGAGCTGTATGTTTCTGAAACTGGGCAATTATGAGCAATGGGGTAAACCACAGCCTGCCCACCGCTGCGGCCAGAAACAGCAGTGGCCTTGGGATGCCGAGCTGGTCTGGGGAGGACAGGCGGCCACAGAGGGCGGGGAACACAGACGATGGAAAATCTGATGGCCAAGCAGCCCGCTGCCTGGGCCAGTGCCTCAGTTTCCCTCCAAGAGACTACCATAAGAGGACTTCTTTGCTACCATGACCATGGCCTCTCTTGAGTCCTTGTCCGTGGGGACAAGGGCAGCAAAACAAGGACCGGAGCCCCCAACCAGCTGCTGAGGAGTCCCCAGCTGATTCTGTCAAGGAACATCTCCTGTGGGCCTGGGTTTCCCCGCCTGTTTCTTCAGCCGTGCAAACACAAAGTCTCCTGGTGTGTTTTGGTGCTGTGGGCACCAAAGCCCAAAACAGTGAGGTACACAGGGTCAGGGCAGTGTCAGATACGTGACCGGGGTGCATAACGGAACCGTAAGAACCCCCACAGTCATACTTGGACCCACATATGGCTCATGGATAGGGAAAAGCATAACGGCCATTCTCCCTTCAACTGATCTTGGCTTTTGGCTCTAGAGCCCTGAGGGGGTGCTTTCCTTTGCTGTTGAATCAGACAGCCAGCAAAGGGGAGCCTGCTTCTATGGTGTGCCTGCTCTCGCCAAGCTTGATACAGATGCTACCTCATTTAATCATCCTAACAGCGGCCGCAGGAAGCACCATTATCCTTGCCTTCCAGTGGTCGAGTCGCCTACCCAAGGTGACCCTGGCCGTCGGTAGTCATGTCAGCACAGGAACCCTGCTCTCCCCACCAGACGGCTGCCTCTGCTGAGGACCCCTCCAGCACCTGGCTGGAGACTCTCACATCTAAGGCTGGGAAGGTCCCCACGGCGGCAGCTCCCTGCACCACTCTCCGCTTGCTCTCTTCCTTCCCCAAGGCAGTGGAGATGAAGGCTGAGACTGTGATCACCTCTTCCTTCTCTTTTCCTGTCATGCAGCCCCTGAAGCAGTTTCTCTGAAGTCAAGACTTCTTGAGAGAAAATAAGAGGGAAGCCTCAATAGGAATCTTCAAGGGATCCACAAGTTTCTTTTCTTTCTTTTTCTTTTTTTTGTCTTATTGAGACAAGGTCTTGCTATGCAGTTCAGTCTGGCCTTTATCTCACTTTGTAGCTCAGGCTGGCCTCGAACTTGCAGCAATCCTCCTGCCTCAGCCTCCCGAGTGCTGGGATTACAGGTGTGCATCACCATGCCTGGTGGCAAATTTCTAACTGATACTATTATACAAAACAGTCTTCTAGGCCAGTAAGGAGCTTCTTGTAGGGAATTAAAAAGGGCACTCATTACTGTTTCACTTGAGTCCTCATTCCCCAGCTTTGATGACTGGGGCAGCTGGGGGAAAATCAGCTGGGATTCTAAGGAAGATCTAGGCAAGTTCCTCAACTTCTTCAAGCCTCATTTCCACAGTTGCCAAATGAGGATAATGAGTTTCCTATCTTATTTGACTGTGGGGAGGAATAAACAAGCTGTTAATGTAATATACCGTTAGCAGAGTACCTAGTATACAGTAAGTACTCCGTAACCACCCACTATTATTATAAATCAGCTCAGTTTTTAAAAAAGTCATCTCTAAGCCGATGCCTTGGCTGGTGAGCAGGCAGAGGCACAGAGGACTGGGGCCTTGTGCTAGGGAGAACAGCAGTAACCTCAGGCTGGGCCGGAGGAAGTCAGCTAAAGAACAGAAGAGACGAAGTCAATATCACAACCTGAGTTCTAACAGCAGTAATGTCTGCGAAGAATGGGGATGGTGGTCTTTTACTTGAACTGACCTAAGCTTAACTTTTGGGCTTAGAATCTGTACCTTATGCTCCTAGAGGGAGCTGACCCCCTAGACCCCAGGCCTGGAAAGCTGGGCTGGACCTGGAGCAGTACCTAAGAGTCCCTTCTACCAACTCCTTCAAAGCAGAGAAGAGAGACAGTTCATGTAGCCAACTCCAAACTCCTTTCCCCTGGGGGGAACCTACTGTGCGTGTGTAGAACAATCTCAAAGCCAGGTGCACTGCGTATGCCCCATGATTTAGTTTGTTTTTCTTTTCTTTCTCCTCGACTCTTTTTTTTGCACATACTACATGTTGTTTGCACATACATGCTGGCAAGCACTGTACCACTAAGCTATGTCCTCAGCCCTTATTTTTTATTTTGGGATAGAGGGTTGCTAAGTTGCCCAGGCTGGGCTCAAAAACTTGTAACCCTTCCACCTCAGCTACTGAGTAGCCGGGATTATAGGCATGCACCACCACACCCAGCTTATTTTTCTATTACTAGTAAGAGTTTTAGGGGTCTGGGAGGAGGGAAGCGGGTACTTAGGGCAAAGAAACTGAACTCCTCCAGGACCATGGGGAGAAAGGGATGGAGCCGGGGGCTTGTAACCTAGCTTTCTCTGTAGCTGGACAGCAGCGTGATCTGAGGGGATGAGGATCATTCCCCAAAGATTGCTAGAAGCTGGGAAGAGAAACTGGAAGAAAAGCAGATCCTGGCCTGGAAGCACAGATTAGGGTGCATCACTGGGTAAAACACCATGCAATCATGAAAACGGCCATTGTGAGGACTGCAGCGAGAGTTTTGTAGTACATTAAGGAAAAAAATGCAGGATACAAGTGTTATGTGTATGTTACAGCTATGTGTAAGTGTGTGTGTCCCTGAATAGAGACCAAGGGACTCAGGAAAAGTGGAAACAGTTGTGCTAGTAAGGCAGGAATGTGGGTGAGATAAGATATATTTGAGTTTTCTTAAATGGGGTCATAATATGTGGATTAACATAGAATGAAAATCAGAACTGAAGGGCCCTAGGGCTGGGGTGGGGATGACAAATACAAACCAATGCCTCAGCCACATCAACTGTCAGTTCTGCTCACTGGATCCCCGAAACTCTCCCTGACTTACGGAACTGACAGGAAGGAGTAGATGGTTTGCGTGGGGAAGCCTGCAGAAATGCAAGGGAGATCAAAGGGGTGGCCTGGACCCACTGGAACTGCGCCAGCAGATCCAAAGCTGCTCAGGCTGGTACCTGTGCCAGGAAGCAGGCAGGAAGAC